TAATTACACAGCTTGCCGGGAGCTTTACATTCAAGCGATTCAAGCGTCCCGAGACCCGCTGTGCCCGCTGCGGCCCTGTGAATATGCACTTCCTTGTGTCACCACTCTCACAGAGCCTGCCTTCTAAACTACAACTCAACATCTGAACAATGTAACATTATATTTGCTTGCTGGAGGCAAGGCATGATGGGATATGTAGTCTTGAGAAATCAAAATTGCATCACATCAAGCAGGAGGGAAAGAAACGCAAAGCACACTGTTAATCAGGGAAGCTGGTGAAAGTGATGGGCAGATGGAAGGCAGCACTCACTACATAAAAGGGATTTTTTCAAGTAAGCTTTGATTGCATTATCTAGCATGTTTTCCTATTACAATGCTGATGTCATAACAGGATAGCATACAGAATGCTGGGACTTTACAACTCCTTTACCAAAGGCAGGGGCGCACTGAGCCGGGGGGCAGTGTGGCAATTGCCCCCCGGGCTTCTCTGCTGCCTTTGAAAACGGCCCTTGCCCGCGGCCGTCAGGGGGCCCATCACTGGCCCCCGCTAAAAGAAGCCTCCGGCCGCCGGTGCAGTGGCTCCCTCCCTCCGCCGCCTCTCTGCCACTTGAACCGCTACAAATGCGGCTCTGTACTCGGCGGCCGTTCGCTCCTCAAGGCTGACCTCTGGAGGGCCCCTGCAGGCGGCCCTCTACAGTGCCTGATTAGAGCGCCATGTCAGCCTGATCCAATAAAAAAAAATAAATCGGGGGACATTTTTAAATGTCCCCAGGAACATAAAATAAAAAATGTTCTTTTTTTAATACTCACCTGATCCATCGCCAAGTGCAGCCTCCCATCTCCCACGCTTTCAGAAGCTTGCACGCTGTGTGCAGCTTCTAAGAAGATACGCTTTTAGCGTAGCGGGTGCTTTGCAAAATGCGCAGCCAGCTTCCTCGCTACTCTAATAGCGTATCTTCTCAGAAGCTGCACACAGCGTGCACCTGCATCCACGCTCCACACGCCGCACCTCCTCCCCGCCTCACACTTGCCGCTGCTAGACCCACCCGCCTGCATCCACGTTCCACACGACATACCTCCTCCCCGCCTCACACTCACCGCCCGCCTACATCCATCGGCACAGGGACGTGGGGAGAAGTAAGGAGGAGCCAGCATGGGGGAATGACAGCCGCCGACAGACAGGACCGATCTCAGAAGCAAGTTGCTGGAAGACTGATAGCTGATGGTACATTGTGCTGTATATTATACATAAGAATACAAATCCCCGCAATACATTATACACTGTATGTATAATGTACTATTGCTGGGATTTGTTGTATTTCTCTATAGCTGGTGGTATTCTGCACTGCACTGTATAGAGGACTACAAATCCCAGCAATAATATCTTATACAGCGCAATGCGGAATACCACTAGCTATAGAGGACTACAACAATTCTCAGCAATAGTACATTATACAGGGCAATGCAGAATACCGCCAGCTGTAAAGGAATACAACAAATCTCAGCAATATTACATTATACAGCGCAATGCAGAATACCGCCAGCTATAATGTACTATTGCTGGAGGTATTCTGCATTGCGCTGTATAATGTATTACTGGGATTTGTAGTCCCCTATAGCCGGTGACATTCTGCATTGATTGCTGTATAATTTTACACTTTCCATTTCACTATATTGCACACCACACTTTTTTTTTTTCCTTACTTCCACCGCTCCAAGCTTGCTTTGGTGATGGACTACAATCTCAATACAAACTAGTAGTCCATCACTGGAGCCATTTTTTAAAATCCCGATTAACCGATTAATCAGACTCAATAATCGGCTAACTAAACGATTTTGAAAATAATCATTAGCTGCAGCTCTAGATAAATGGTCACCCTACACCAGGGATCCCCCACTAACCACCAGGGAGCCCCCACTGGCCGCAGTGGAGCCCCCACTACCCAACTGGGAGCTACCACAGAGCCACCACTAATTATTAGGGAGCCCCCACTGGCCACCACAGATCCCGAACTGACCAGCAGAGAGCCCGCACTGACCACCTGACAGTCCGCATTGGCCACCTGAGCGCCTAATTAGGGAGCCGTCTCTGCTGCACCCACACGCACCCGTGAAACTCTCTGGACCCCTGGTGAGAGCCCGCACAACCCTCCTGAGATCCTGGAGACATCGGGCGGCGAAGCCAGAGCAACAGAGTATGTAGCTTCATATTATTCTGCATTGCTGTAATATGTATTGCTGGGATTTGTAGTCCTCGGTAGCTGATGCTTTTCTGCATTGTTGTATAATGGTATCGCTGGGAATTCTAGTTCTCTATAGCTGTTGGTAGTCCTTATTGCTGGGATTTATAGCCTGCTATAGCTGATGGTATTCTGCATTGTTGTGTAATGTATTGCTTGGAATTGTAGTTCTCTATAGCCAATGCCATTCTGCAATGCTGTACAATGTATTTCTGAGATTTATAGTCCTCTATAGCTGGTGGTATTATTCTGCATTGCTGTATAATGTGCTGAGATTTGTAGTCCCTCTACAGCTTGGAGTTTGTGGCAGAACTACCAGGGTCGCAGCAGTCGTAAACGTGCACGGCACTGACGAGGCATCCCTCCACTACCAGTGTGCTTTAATTTTCCTCAACCGATAAATGTCTCTACCGCGTCTCTTCCAGGTGTGCATGTCATGAAGAAAGGGGGTCATGAAAACAGCTGATTCGGATGACTGGGCCCCACTGGAAGTGACACAGTTGAGAAAATGTATAGGAACGAGAAAAATTATAGGACACTGTCCGGCCCCTCCCACTAACCTCCCACAGCTCACAGCCCATAAGCATGGACAGCCAGCGGTGTTCTACAGTGGGCGAGAGTGCCTAAGTACCGGACATGGAGCGGAATAAGGCCAGAACCATGTAGGGAGCCCAGTGGGAGGAGAGCACCATCCCCTAGACAGTCGTCCCTTTCATGGACTTACTAGGAGTCCTCACATCTCCCGACCATTCACACTACCGTTACATGGATGGCAAAAGTGGCATACAGAGGCGGGGAGGAGGCAAGTTGCTGCACCATGGGCCTCTGGGTTGTACTTGCCCCCTGGCCTAAAAGTTGCCAGTCAGCCCCTGCTATAGAGGTGGCTTTTCCTGTGTAGCCATTCTCTATATATTGTTTCCCCGTCATTTGTAGAGTTCTGCTGGGCTGAGTTTGTTCAGCTAGTGACAGGGCCCGTTTAAAGCATAACTTATCCCAAAAGCAAAAATCTAATATATTGCACTTCCTCAGAAATGAACTACAAGCATTAAACAATGTTATCTTATTTGCTTATTCTACTAATTCCGTCATCCCCAATGGAATGGAGATAAGCAAAGGGAGATATGTTTGAAGTTCAGCCTGTGTGGCAACCATGATTTCCTCTATAGCTACAGTGTGGAGTCGTGAGCGTAGCCTCCAGGGCTGTGCCGCCAAAGAGGACAATTGTGGTGGCTCCCCAGGAGACACTCATGGAGGAATGATAGGAGGGTCACTCTGAGGCTGCAGTGTCCATACCAGACACTGTATTCTCAGTGAAGCTTAGTAATGCTGAGCCTGATAAAATCACAGACTTAGCGTTACTGGGCTCCATGTCACTGCACACATTTGCCCTGTGCTTGTTCATTTCCTGGGCTACAGTGTCATTGCTTGTTATCAACCAATGATTCTGTGTGGCTTTGCCATCAGCATTATGGCAACCAATGACAGGGCGCAAGAATGGTAGCAACCCCCTACCTCCAGTGCACACCTGATCATAGCTGCCAAACTGCACCCCCCTACCTTTGCTACATGCCTGATCAGAGATGCCAAACTGCTCCCCCCTCCTCCCATACCCCCCTGCCCCGGTACACACCTGATCATAGATGCCAAACTTCACATCCCCCCCTCTGGTTATCTGTGTTTGTCTCAGTGTCACTGAGCAGCTCCAGATCCTTAAATTGGATTTCACATGGACTGAGAAGTGCACAGTGACATTGTAGGAACTTCCTCCTCTGTGTTCTCTGCCTCTTCTGGTCTGGAATGTGAATAGCATCGGACTGGCTAGAGGCAGAACCAAAGGCAGGGCATGTGATGAAAAGGGTGCACTCCCATGCTGTGCCTTCCCCCACATGAAAACACTGCGCCCCCAGGCCAGCTGCCCCTCCCACCCTGTCTTTGCATCAGAGGACTGGTAATCACCATGTATGAACCTTCAGCATATTTATAAAAAGAAAGAATTGTATTTTGTTGCACATGATGATGATCTGCAATAATATCAACATATCTAGGGGACATTTAAAGCTGAACTCCGGGATAAGCAAATATTCTCTGAATATGAAAGTCATGTGTATTCTTCATTGAATCTTGGTGAGCTTTGTTTATTTCTCCAGATTTGTGCAGTAATCCAGTGTGAAACTTTATTTCCTGTAATAAAGACTGGTCACTGCCACTCCCTGTCCTTGTGCAGAGTGACTGGTCTTGTCGCCACCCCCTCCTCAGTTTTCAGCAAGTTGCCTGTAATGGGTGGGGCCTGCTGGGCTCCTCCCACTGCTCTGCCCTGTACACACAGTGATGATGTCACTACTACCTTTACAGAAGCATTAGCTGCACACAAAGTGGATTTCTCTATATGTGTCTATTACGGGATAGATTTCAATCAAAGTTTTTGTGCGGCTTACTTTTGGATCCATTTCATGCATTTTACAGTGCCTGGCACTGTAGCAGCATATGTAGGACATATTAGAACTTGTAGTTCTACAAGTCACCAACCTCCACTCCAGAGGATGACAGAGATCGCAGACACAAGTATGCCAACAATGCAGACCTCAGATCCGTCTTTCTCTGATAGCTGCGAGGAGGGCGCTGCTAATGTATACAGACGAGCTGGAGGTGATTGATGGCCGCTGTCGCCAGTAGCAGATCTCCCAGTCTCCGGCAGAGCCAGCCGACCAATCCGCTGCCTGGGAGCGATAGGCGGGCGTGGCTTGCTCTCCCCTCTCCTCTCCAGGGTAGCTACTGAGCTCTCACTTGGTTACATTGTAGCGCTGGCTGGCTCCACGTTCGGCTCTGCTTGGTTGTTTAGGGGGGAGCTCAGGAGCAGCACACGTCCGGCGATCGGAGAGAAGAGTACAGCAAGCCAGGGATGGATCATTATGACCAGAACAATGACTATATGCAGCCGGAGGATGATTGGGACAGGGATCTCCTCCTGGATCCAGCCTGGGAAAAGCAGCAGAGGAAGGTAAGACAGCCGGCCCTGAGCTTGAGATCTGCTTAACTTCTACCCCGATTCACTCCATTCAAATGTTTCACGGCAGCTGTCACTTTCCAGTCACACTCTGGGGGATTGATGCTTTGCGCTGTAACCTATAGCAACCATGCAGCATCCCCACTTGGAGTACTGAAAACTGATATTGGTTGCTAGGGGTTACCACACATCAGCATTGCTTGTTCATGATTAAATAAGACAACCCAACCTGCAGTGGGTGAATCTTGGACTTACCTTGAAAGCACTCCTGTAGAATCATTCAGGGATCAGCTATGATCCTTCTGTCTAAGTCAGTGAAAGGGTTAAAAAAATGTTCCATGCTGACTGAGTGCAGAGGGCAGCTGAACTGTTGCAGTAATCCCAGCCTGATATAGACATCAGATATGCAGCAGAGTAGTATAGTACAGGTAGATACATAGAGAATAGTCTTCTTCCCTATAACCACTACACCCAGTTCTAGACACCAGTGTAGCCCAGAGCTCCCCCTGAGCAGTAAAGGTAACCAGACTGAGTTCAGGTCACATCTAGCCTTGTTCTAATAATTAAGGCTGATTTCCCGACCTGGCAAGTCGTCATAGTTGCTCTTTAATGAGCATTTAGTGATTGCGGTAATCTGGACTGATTTGGGAAAATGAGGAAAATTGTTGTTCCCGGGGCTGGCTGTTAGGAGGAGAAAAAAAAACCATGATTGCAATGACTTAGTCCTACTACAGACTGTCTGTAGAATACCGCAGCCCGACACTAGTAGGTTCAACCTATAGAATGGCAGATCTCCAGCAGGCCTGTTCTACACAGCAGCTGGTCTGCGGATAGCCTGCCACTGAGATCACTGACTTTATCTATTATTAAATAGTTGGGATGCTGCAGGATGTTTAGAATGTGACGGTTTCTGGGTATTGAGAATGTCATATAGTACTGTCACATCCCGATGGCTGCAGTGAATAGTAAGCAGGCTCTTTTTTACAATGGTTTTCATCAATTTCATTGGCAGGAGATGGCTTTTCTATTCGTTTATAGGCTGTTGGATGACTAGTACCAGGGGGGTACATATGTCTTTTTTCCCCTTTTCATTTATATAGGAGACCTGGACTAAGAGGAATGAATAAGATGGCGTTGCTGGCCTGCTTAAAATGCTGGTTGACGGGCTCTTCTGAGACACTGAACTGGTACAAGTTACAGTGTTTGCCTGATGAAGGGACCCCTAACGTTTCCGAAACGTTATGTTTCACTTGCGCCATGATTGTTTGGTGTCTTCATTCAAGGCGTTCTACGCATGGGACCTTGGAGTGACAGTGACTTCTTTTCAGTATTTGAACTGGAAGGAGCACACAGGTGAAGAAAGTCAGCATGACTTCAAAACGACTGGTGCACCTAACTGTTCCAGGTCAGGATTTACTGAAGCCATTGGATCAGCATTACAGCCAGCAGGAGAGGTCAACAATGACAGCCACTTCACTGCAAGTTCCCATTAACATATATAACATGCACAGGAGGCATACAGACCAATACCTTTTCATGTTACATTTGTATTTGGACAATTCTAATGACTTTGGGACAGTAGTAGGGAATACCTTGGGGCAGGGGTGGACCAATTAATATGGAATTCAGCAGCCATTCTGTCAAATCCAGGAGCCAGCAGGCTTTTCTTTGTGGAGTCAGCTCCATTGACAACAACTAGAGAAATCTAGAATGTAGGAGCCAGCTGTTATTTTTAAGGAGCATTGGCTACCAGGCTCCTGGGATTTGTCCAACTCTGCCTTGTTGCTTTGGTAGTAAGTTGTATGTACCATTTTCACATTAAAGTATGATATGAGGCATATCCTTGCACCGTTGAAGGGTTAGGTCCACCCACAAATGCCGATGCTGGCAAGTTGAATGTCCTCCAGGCTTATTTTATGTCTTGGAAGATAAGATGTCAGAATCTTCTTGTTGTAGTTCTCATCCTGTTCTCCAGGCCTTGGATCCTCCACTATCATGTGACATTCTCTATGATAAAAACCAAAAACATTTAAACAGGATGAGTTAGACCAGTGGGTCTCAACCTGTGTAACCTCAGGACCCACATTTGTCCTTGGTCATTAAGTCACAACCCAATGAAACGCACGGCATTGCGGTACAGAGCATTCCCATGAGGGGAATTGATCTGGGTGGGAGATGCGTTTGGGGTGCCATTCAAATGACAACACACCTCCCACACCAGATTGCGCGGTAGGTGCGATTACGTTGTACAGTGCGGTAATCGCACAGGACTGTGCAATTAATCCACTGTACTAGTGTGAACGGGCCCTCAAAAACACTGACTGATACACAATGTCACACAGTCACAGACTGTCTCACACACACACTCCCAAAACATATTTAATTTAGTTTCTTTTTTTTCCACCCAGTCTCCCTATCTTCCGAGAACTGGAGTGGATCCTCAGCCTAGGGTCCAGTGTAGGCTGCTATGCTGTGATGGAGCTCCATCCGTATGTGCATTGCTTGTACAGCTCCCTCACTTGTCCTGTAGAAGTGACAGGAGCCAGAATGTGACATCACTCCGGTCCAGGCACCTCTACAGGGCATGCATGGGGAGCTGTAAGCAATGCATGTATGGATGGAGCTCCCTCGTGGCCATGGCCCCATCCCACCCCACCTCAAGCTGACACTTGGCATCGGGCTGCATATTTTGAATGGCTGCTTGGCCTGATAACTGACAGTGCTGCGTAGGGGGAGGGTGATAAGCCTCTCACCTAGAAAAGTGGAAGGCATGTGGTGACCCACTGAACACGGGGTCGCGACCCAATGCCTTCCACACGTGAGGGAGCTGTACAAGCAACCCACCAGTTGAGAACCAAGGAGTTAGACTATGACCGTACAGTGGGTGGAGCTGGGAACTCAAGTGTAGACAGTGACAACCAAGCCCCCAAGAGTTATGAGATATTGGGGGGGTTTCAACTTATGAGCGTCAAGCAAAAACTGGAATATCATGGAATCCTCTTCAGATTCAAGAGATGCAATTGGTCAAACACCAGCTGTGAACAATCAGTCATTTAGATTAGTTGTCATTGGTAAAAAAGAATTTGGTCATTGATATTCAATTATTTCAAAAGAGAAATGTGAATTAGGTAAAATACACGGTCATTTGTTTGTAACCCAGAGATAAAGTCCATGGTGTCTCCAATGCACCAGGTATACAAGTGTGCCTGATTGTATGCCTGTTGTGTAGGGAAATGATTTGATAGGCTGCCATGAGAATGCAGTAAGACCTACAGGCATGGTCCAGCCATTCAGAGAGATCCATAAACATGCACACTTGCATAACAAGAGCATGCATGTTTATACTCCTTTTGAACCTGATTATCTTGGTGGAAGCAATCGTCATCATTCCATCATGATGGAATGTCACATGCTGGTGGAGGCTCCAACGCCTGCAGAACAGGATCCTCATTTTTGGCAACCACTACTTCCTGTAGTCATAAGATCATCTATCTGGCAATCATTTTATGGCTATGAGTTCCTTGTCACACATACAAGTTCATACAAGTTCTTTTTATATCTACCAAACTATTTGATATGAGGGCCTACCTAAACTATCCATTAAAGTGATACCCAATCAGTCAAACCCTAGACGCCACATAGCTGGTGGTAGATCTAAGGAATATTATAGTGTATATATAAAGGACATAGTTCATATGTGGAGGTCAGCGGGAGGAACCAGAGTGCTGTGTGAACACAGAAGTTCAATACTCCAGGAAGAGTCGGTTTCCCAGTAGACTTCAGGGGCTATTTCTTCAATAATGGAGCGGTGTTTGGCAGCTGGACAGTTGAGTATATACTCATTGCCAGCAGTCTAAACAGATCATTTGGGACTGCATAAAAATGAAATGATAATATGCATGTGCCTATTTTATCTGTGTTATATACATATATGAATAGAATAATTCACAGATAACACCGCTCATGGGTCACATCTGATCAGAGCTACTTCTCCTGATCCATGTTCTTGTCAGAAAGAATTCATATGAGCCCATGCAGTGGTAGAAGGGTGTGTCTCCAGCAGAGATAACGGAGCTATTTATTGGCTATATAGATAGTAGGATAGGCAGCAATAGGGATCATTAATTGATAGAAATGTCAGTTGTCCCATCCCCAGATATGCAGCAGGAAAAAGCAAGGCTGGCTGTGATATTTCTATAGCACAACGATAAAAAAGGTGTGGTACATTACTTGTAGGCAGCGGCAGTGCCTATATAAAATATATCTGTCATTGCTCTTATGGGGATTGCATCATACAACCTTTTATCTTCACAAGTATTTACATATAATTGAATTGGAAGGCCATTTTTAAAGTAGACTAAAGGTGCCCATACACTGTACGATTCTCGTACAAGAATCGCGGGAAATCCCGCGATCGTACGAGAATCGTACAGTGTATGGAAGGCGTGCGACTGTTTCTACTGTACGGATGCACGTCTTCCGTCGAACAAGCAGGCTTGAAAACCCGACGAGAATCGTACGATTCTCAGCGGGTTAGTGGCCTGCTTTTTCGACAGCTGCCGAACTGGCCGGTGTGCGCACACTGCCCGTTTGCAGTGATCAGAAGCCCGTCCCTCACTGCGGGGCGGGCTTTCGATGATCGCAAGTACGATCTGCCCGTCCAAGATGGGCAGATCGTACGAGCTTTGAATGAGCTTACAACCATCGCAAGACAAAGGTCTTGCGATGGTCGTAAGGTGTATGGGCACCTTAAAGGTCCCCACACACCTTGCGATAATCGTACGATAATCGCGGGAAATCCCGCGATCATACGATTATTGTAAGGTGTGTGCCCAGCCTTATACTGTAATGCAAACTTATACTGCCATTACCAATCTCTCCTGCAATGCTAGTTGACCGTCTTTCATACTTCCGTACTTTTATTAGTTCCTTGCCCACAGCAAGTATTTCAAAGTGTAAATATACACAACATCCCACAAGAGCTGCAGTTATGT